ATACAAACATTGTCTGAAACTAATATAGTGCACCTAGCACGTTTCCTTCAATCGCGTTTCGTAGAACTAGAATTTCTGACTCAAAGGAGTCGCAGGTCAAAGTATTGAAGATACCTACTGTATATTACAGTTGCAGGTAGGTAGGTATGTTTATACCTACACAATATTGGTAAGGATTTATTCGGAACATTGGCGTGTTTCTAATATTGATTTCTAGTACCTACATCTATGTGGTTGTATTACATTCAGAAATATTACAAATCAAATCAAATCAAAACCATTTATTCCAACTTAACCATAAATAGGTACTTTTGATACGTCAAAATAGAATAGTAGTCTGTCAGTCTGTTCGTCAGTGAAGCTAGGTGCTCGTACATCCAAACTAATATTATTATTGCGAAAGTAACTCTGTCTGTCTGTTTGTCTCTCTGTCTTCTGTGAAATTTAGTACAGCCATAGTTTGGGAACTCGAGAAAGGACATAGGATAGTTTTATACAAAAAATCTCCAGGAAGTCACAATTCCACGCGAACGGAGTTGCGGGCAAAAGCTAGTTCAGAAATATATTAGACATTATTATTTACTGCTTCTTTAGGTTTATTGTACTGCAGTTAAGCGGCAATGAGGATTAAGCGCTTATTATTGCTTAAGCGTCTGAAGTCCCGTCTGGAGCTTAAGTGTCGTGCTAGTCCGGAAATTAAGGTCGCCAGCGTTTCATACATGAGAGCGCAACTTCAAAATCTGACAATTATTATCAACGTGACTTTTTTAATTTTTATGTGTTTACGAATACTTTATACTTACCAATATCATTATAATAAGAAAGATTTGAACATGTTTGTTTGAATTGAATAGGCTTTGAAAACATTTGACAAATTAAAAAAAAAACTGCTTTCACAATTTGGGAAGTTATGCTATTGAAACATAGGTGAACATTAGCTGTAAACTACTACTTCAAGAGATTTCTTGGTTTGTTTAGACCTTTGGTATGTTTACGGTGGAGGAAAATATCGTGAGGAACCTGATAATAATACTTATACCAAATGATGTCGTATAAAATAAAAATAACAAAATGTTGGCGACTTCGAAAAATACATGGGTACAACTGTAAAATATAAAAATTTCAAATAATGAAATCTCCTGGTAGTACTATACGGTGTCTCTGTGTTAATTTAAGTTGTTACTTTTGCCACTATCAGAAGATGAAAAATATAAAACATTACCTTGCACCTACATAATTATGATGTATACACAAACCTAAAAACGCAGCAAAAAACGCCCTCGTGCGAATGTGGCAAAAAACGTTCCATTTTGAAGAAAAACAAAAATGGCGCTAACGTATTCTAGTAACGTATGCAACGGTTGACGTAGGGCCTGACAACACTAGCGCCACCTGCCGGCAATTTGTTACTTACGTCTATTTATAACTCAATGTCACAATGAAATTGGAATAGTTACCTTCGATGTAATTGTAAAGAAATTATACTTTTAAGCTACGAAAATAAAATTGGATCTAAATGTCAATGAAAATGTGATCAATAATGTTGTTCTTGATTTTATTTTTTAGTTTAAATTCTTGGCAGGATCATTTACTACTCGTCTGATCAGCTGTATGAACGTAGTAATGTAACAAAGAATCTGATTGAAAAAGAGTAACCAAGTAAAAGAGAAAGAGTTCGATTGCACGGTTGTCGCGGTGGCTGGGCAACTGGCTGCCCCGGGTTCGATTCCCGCACGGAACAACTCTTTGTGTGATCCCCAAATTGTTGTTTCGGGTCTGGGTGAGATGTGTATGTAGATTTGTATGTTTGTAAACGCACCCAGTGTGGGGCAACGTTTTTATTAAAAAAAACAAAAGAGTTTCTTGATCGTTCTTCTCCATCGGAATCAACATCGGAACGAGCAAATAGTTTCACATAGAGAACTGACCGACAGAGTGACACTTTTATCTCTAAGTTTTGTTTGACTTCCTAAAGTGAGTGTTGTAAGGGTGGGATAGCTAGGGCGGGATACTTCGGCACGAATGGGTCGGCTCGACCGGAGTAATACCACGGCCTTATAGAAAACCGGTGTAAAATAACCACAGCGTTGTGTTCCACCGTGTAAGTGAGGGTTTTTATTTTGTATATAAGCAATGTTAGCCATAAACTTTATCTTTACTATTGTAACTTGATCTTTACTATTGTAATCCATAAACTGAATACTATCTCACATTGCAACCGTAACAGATATTTTATAGCATCTGAAATATTTTGCTACAGAAACATACCATGAAAGTTTCATACGTAATATCACAAAAATCTTCAGTGCAAAATGTAACTACACTAATATTTCAGAACCCAGAACCCAACAAAACACACGACCACATTTGTGTTACCATTCACTAGTACCTACCTATGCTATTTTCAGTTGGCAACACGTAACGTCAGTAGCGCTTTTCACATTTTCTTGCATTCATTTCCCGGTAGGGAAACAAGCACTTGGGTACTTCTGTGCCCCACGCGCGTTCAGCAGGTTAACGTACATTTTTCAATTATTCCTTTTATGGAATATGAACTTTAAAGTTTCGCAACAGAGTTGAAAGTTTTCAGTTTCATTTCGGTATAGCTTGACGAGCTGAGTCTGTACACATTGCAACTCGCATACCATAAAAGAGAGTTGAGAATCGTCTAAATATTTAAAAAGCTATATTACATGGGTCATAAGGTCTCTTTTTATCACCGTTTCGTTTCCATGCATCGTATGCCGTTGAACTCAAAGTCAACTCAGCATTTCATGTCCTTTGTTCAAAACTGACGTTGATCACTGTGCCTCTTCAAATATCATTATCGTAGAGGCTTTTTTTTCTAAAATTTTCTTTCAAGAATTATGACAGCCATTTACTAAATGTTAAGAAATTTAAAAGAATCACAACATTACTGTAATAGAATGGCAAGCGATATTTTTTTAAAGTTTAAGTTGAACAAATATTAGGTTTAAGTCTGATTCAAACTTTGAACGTTGATACCATTTATATAGTAGAAACTTTTTCGGTTCTTTAACTTACTCTTACTTAATTAAATAAATTTTCTAATGTTTATAAAATTAATATAAGTCATGGCCTCAGTGGATTTTCTTTATTCGATAGATGGACAAACTTTTCAACGGATTACCTAATTGTAAGCAATCGACGCAATTGGCACGCAACACTAAAGGAGTTACGAGTGCGTTGCCGGCCTTTTAGGGATTAGAGTTTCGAATATTTAAGGATTGGGAAAGGATGGGAAGAGGGGAAGGGATTGGTTCTCCGGTAACCTAACTCACACGGCGAAACACAACGCAGTGGTGTTTGGAATTGTCTTAAAACAATGCTTGTGATATGTTTCAATGTGGAATTGATTTTAAAACAGCGCAAATCCTCTCTATTTAAAAACATGTGTTCTAGAACCTTTCAAAAATATAAGAATATTATTTATATTAATATTTCTTCATTAACTTTGTTCACAGGAGGTAGCAAGCGAGCCACACGACTGACAGTAGCCACAGCTATCGGCATATGGTTACTGGCGGCCCTTCTAGCCACGCCCGCGTATGTCGGATCATACGTGCGAGCATTTGTCGTCAACCCCAAAACACAGGTAATTGATTACAACTTCTTCTTTTTATTTATATAGACTTATGAAACAGAGATGTGAGATAAATAGTCTTCTTTTATAAATCGATTTTGTATGTAGAAACGTCGTTTTTGAATAGTGAATATCGTGATACCTACAAACTTAAGTTATTAAAAATAAGGACTTACTACGTGCGCGACGTCGCCGCCACGCGCATGCTGCTCTTGAGTAAGACTTCCGTTGTGACTTGAAACTGGTTGAACTTTTCTCAGTTAATTTGCGTGTGTAAGTTGTTATAATTATAACAATAGTAGTGATATGAGACACAATAGTAAGAAAATAGGTATGTGAACGCCGGCGTTCACGGGGGGTTTGACAAATTAATTTTTCCACTTTCAATTTCTATCTATTTAATCACTACCTATTGAAAAAACCGCATCAAAAGCCGTTGCGCAATGTTAATGATTTTAGTATGCCTTCATAGAGATACAGGGACAGAGAAAGAGACTTTGTTTTATTCTATGCGTAGCGTGCGTAGTAACCTATACGTCGGTAGCAGATAAATTAGATACTAGTTTCAATATTTGAAATTGAAGTAGTGGCAAGTGGTAGTGGAAATTGGGCACATTTACAATCGGAATTGAAACACAATCTGTCGCCAAGTTGAAGCTAGAATTGTTTGTCTAGTCCAGCCTAGTCTCTGGTCACCCATTTAGCATTGCACATTGCATAAACTAGCGAAAACGTCCCCAGGTGCAACATCCACTAACTTGTCCGACCAACACGTATTTTAATTTATTTAACTAACGTGACTAACGTTAATGTAGTTATGAAGTCGGGAAAGTTTATTTTATTTTAGCACATTAAATTTCTTCTTAAATTTTGTGTGATTTTAACAAATTATGTGGCTGGTGATTTGCATATTTATATATGGCATAACTCAGACTAACAGTTGGTCAAAGTACAAACTATTTGGCTGTGTACTTGGCACATTCCTGATCGGACAGTAAGTAGCACAACCTCTGGTAGGTTAGTAGAACCTGCTTTTTGAGTGTCAGACTCTTACTGACTAAAAATACCCCCGTTCCTTCTCTTGCTCTGGGCCGAGGTCGCGGTGCCTCATTGCGCTTACCCTGCAACCCCGGCAGGGTAGTAGAGCCTTAAAACGTCATTGTCAATTGTAGCGGCACTATCACGTCGCTACATTACTTAGATACGATAGAGATAAGACATACATGTTAATTGTTGCACGTTTGTTAGGATAGCTAAATCTGAAAATCTCACGCATCTTCTTAGTATATAAGCACCAGCAATTAAAGTAATAAACAGACCTTAACCATCTACAGTCTCATTATTTACCTTGCCACGAAGTCTGGCAAATTGGTGACCCCGACGAAGAACAATCAACATGACTCATTCACCCTGCAAATCAAGCAGCAGCCAACAAGAAGCCTTGGAGATATCAGCCGGAACCGCCATTTTATCCCGTATTCCGGAATTTTGGAGGGACCAACCCAGATTATGGTTTAAGCAACTAGAAGCCATAGTAGCACCACAGAAGCAAGGAGACGATTACAAGTACTATACGGTCATTGCAAAACTGCCAAAAGAAGAAATAATACAGGTTAGTGACCTCATTACTTGCCCACCGCCAATAGAAAAGTACAAGGCTATCAAAGAACGCCTAATCAGTTGCTATGAGGAATCAGACCAACGTCAGCTCCAAAAATTATTGTCTGAAATGGATCTCGGCGACCAGAAACCATCACATCTTCTGCGCAAGATGCGGACCCTGAGTAACGGAAATATCAGCGACGAAACCATCAAACTTCTATGGTTGAGGCTTCTGCCACCATCAGTGACTTCGGTTCTAGCAGTCACAGAAGACATAGATGTGAACAAGATGAGCCAGATCGCGGACAAGATATTAATAAATTCAACACGTACAGAGGTGTCAGCTGTAAACGGAAACAAATCTGGCGACGATACAATGTCATGCATACTAGCACAGTTAGCAGAAATGCAATTGGAACTAAATGCAATTCAGCAAGGTCAAAAAAACTATCGACGCAGCACTCAAAGTTATTCCAATCGTCGGCATTTCCTACCACAGTCAAGTTCAAGAGAAAGAAGGCACTTTTGTTTTTACCATGGAAGATTTAAAAAATATGCACAAAAGTGTGTTCAACCTTGTGATTGGAAACAGGATCTCAACTCAAGGAAACAGGGAAACTAATTGAAGCACGGACAACGGCGGAACTCTGTGCTATTCACCCGTCCAACCGCCTCACTATTACCGACCGAAAAAGTGGTATGAGATTTTTGATTGACACGGGAGCAAATATTTCAGTTATTAGCAAGCCACAGAGACATTCACTAATACAAGATGAACAATGTATACTTTATGCCGCCAATGGTACAAAAATTAAGACATATGGTGAAAAAACACTCTCTTTAAACTTCGGGCTACGAAGAAACTTTGTATGGAACTTTGTCATCGCCGATGTAACACAACCGATTATTGGAGCAGATTTTTTAGAGCATTATAAGCTATTAGTCGATATAGCTGGTCGAAAACTCATAGATAGGGTAACTGAGCTGACAACGCCCGCAACCCTGATCAAATCGACGCAGCAAACAATCCGCACTATTAACATTGAGACGAATCCACGCATTACTCAACTATTAAATGAATACGAGGATATTACGAAACCAGCCTCCCTCCACACTACTCCAAAACACAAGATTAAGCATCATATTATCACTAAAGGACCACCGGTATCAGCACGTGCAAGACCATTACCTCCTGATAAATATCATATAGCAAAGAAAGAATTTCAGACTATGATGGAGCTTGGCATTTGTCGCCCTTCGGACAGCCCATGGGCTAGTCCTTTGCACATGGTTAAGAAAAAGAACGGTGAATGGAGACCATGTGGAGATTATAGAATGCTCAATAGCGTGACTGTACCGGACAAATATCCACTTCCACGACTAACTGATTTCACTTACATACTAGAAGGGAAGCAAATCTTTTCCAAAATTGATATTCGAAAGGCGTACCACTGCATTCCTGTAGAAAATGTGGAAAAAACTGCTATTATCACTCCTTTTGGACTTTTCGAATTTCCAAAAATGCCTTTCGGTTTACGTAATGCGGCACAAACATTCCAACGATTCATGGACTCGCTATTCAGGGATTTGGATTTCGTATTCATATTCGTCGACGATTGTCTTATAGCATCTGAAAACGAGGCTCTACATTATCAACATTTGGATACGGTTTTCAAACGTTTACATGAAAATGGATTAACAATTAATCTCGAAAAATGTGACTTTCTTAAGAGTGAAATAGATTTTCTGGGTTATCATACAACACGTCGAGGAATACGACCAACGGAGGAAAAGTACAAAGCAATTATGGAATTTCCTAAACCTACGACAATCAAGGAGCTAAGAAGATTTTTAGGAATGATCAACTTTTACAGAAACAATCTCCCTCATGCCGCTGAATATCAAACTATCTTAAACAACTACCTGCACGACTCTAAAAAGAATGATAATTCTCCAATTTCTTGGACAACAGAGGCCGAAAAAGCTTTTGATAAATGCAAGGAAAATATAATGAACGCAGTATTAACAGTTCACCCCTCTCGCACCGCCCCTTTGGCACTTATGACGGACGCCAGTTCGACCTGTGTTGGCGCAGTTCTGCAGCAGAAGTCAGGACGTAATTGGGAACCATTAGGATTCTTTTCAAAGAAATTAAGTGATACTCAACAAAAATACTCGACATTCGACAGAGAGTTGCTCGGAATATATATGGCAGTCAAACATTTTCAAAGGTTAGTCGAAGGAAGAGAATTTACTATCTTTACAGATCATCGACCTTTGACTTACGCATTTTCCCAAAAACCGTCATCTAATGATACGCCACGGCGAATACGACAACTGGATTTTATTTCACAATATTGTACCAACATTCAACATATAGAAGGACGTGACAATATTGTAGCAGACGCATTGTCACGGATAGAACAAATTGATGTGCCATCACCGATTAATTATGCTGATTTAGCAAGATGTCAGCATGATGACCAAGAATTATTACGACTTCGTAATAACAAGAATTTAAAATTTTCAAATATCAAGGTTCCGGGTTCTACTGAAGTCATCGCCTGTGACATATCTACAGGAAAAAATCGCCCCTATTTACCAGAAAAATTTCGGAGACAAATTTTTAATGTCATGCATGGACTGAGTCATCCTGGGAAGAGAGCTACTAGGAAAATGATAACTCAAAGATATTTATGGACAAGTATGAATAAAGATATAAATGAATGGTGTAAATCGTGCCTAGCTTGTCAAAAATCAAAAGTGCAACGCCACACTATATCACCTGTCGGGAACTTTATGCCATCTCAACGTTTTGAACATCTACACATCGATATTGTTGGACCGTTACCTGTTTCTCAAGGAAAGCGATATTTAATTACAATGATAGATCGTTGCACTTCTTGGCCGGAAGTATTTCCCGTTAAAGATATCACAGCCGAAACAGTAGCGCGCATACTGTATGAGGGATGGATAGCAAGATTCGGATGCCCATTACGCATTACTACGGATCAAGGTCGACAATTTGAATCAAGAATATTTGAATCACTTTCACAATTTTTAGGAGTACACAAAATTAGAACAACGCCTTATCACCCACAATCAAATGGAATGATAGAGAGATTTCATAGAACTTTAAAAGCGGCGCTAATATCAAGAGAATCTAATGCTAATTGGATGAACGAAATTGCTTCAGTTCTACTTGGATTACGAAGTTGTGTACGCGAGGACACAGGATATAGTGCAGCAGAGATGATATATGGCGCACCTATAAGGCTTCCCGGAGAATTTTTTGAATCGTCACAGCCTTCGACATACGAAGAATTTGTCACAAATATACAAAAGGACATTTCTCGTATGACATCAACATCAAAACGCAAGAAAATTAAACAAACAGTTTTCATTCACCCCGAGCTCAACAAATGCTCACATGTATTCGTGCGCTGTGACAGAATAAGGAAAAGTTTAACACCACCATACGAAGGACCATTTCTAGTGACAAAGAGGATAGATAAGACGTTTATCATTAAAATTGGGGACAATGAAAAAGCAATATCTATAGACCGATTAAAACCTGCATTTGTCTTCAATAGTGGAACGAACGTGCCAAATTCAGAAAATAATCACAACGGGCGGAACACGTACATCACGAAGTCAGGACGGGCGGTTAAGCCGACAGTACGATTCGTCACTTGCTGACACAAGTAATCAGTCCATTTAAATACTCACCGTATTTTGAAAATACCATCATATACCGTCAGTATCTACGAGAGAACAATGGGCAACCAAAGCTCCAAAGATCAAATCGTATATAACTCCGACAGTTGCCTTAATCAAAATGAAGCCGACCATCTCAAAAGTCTTGTCCTGGAAGAGCTACGGTGGACGAGAAACATTGCAATTGGACAAATCCTCATCACAATTGGCATCCTTCTTCTCTACGGAATACTGAAGACCTTAGACAGAAGAGTGAAAACAATAGCAAGAAACAATCAGCACAAATGCAGTGGATAGTTCATCGACTGCCGCCGCCGTCACAACAAAGGCAGCAGTTTTTATTTCCTTCGAATTAGCAACAATGACATTACATTACGCATAGGATGTAATTTATCAGCAAGGTTAAGTTATTATATAATTAGGTACATACTAATTTTTTTCAATTTATATGTTAATTATTTTTAAAAGGGGGGAGTATATGTAGCGGCACTATCACGTCGCTACATTACTTAGATACGATAGAGATAAGACATACATGTTAATTGTTGCACGTTTGTTAGGATAGCTAAATCTGAAAATCTCACGCATCTTCTTAGTATATAAGCACCAGCAATTAAAGTAATAAACAGACCTTAACCATCTACAGTCTCATTATTTACCTTGCCACGAAGTCTGGCAAATCAATCACATCCACTCCTAATACCAATGGACTTACTATAAGTGCGTTGCCGGCCTCCTGTGGTCCGGTAGCCTCATCCACATGGCGAAACATAACTAATTGTTGCTTCACGATGGTTTTCTGTAAGGCCGTGGTATCATTCCGGTCGAACGGGCCCGTTCGTGCCGAAGAATGATTCTCCCACATTTAAAATCTCTAAGAAATCATTTAAGCAAGAAAATTTCTCGTTTTGTTAGAATAAAAAGGTTTTGCCAGTACTTCCACACATAGCCTTCCAAATACAAGGTATTTAATCTTTCTAAACTAACAAACTAAAAGGATAGATATCAGAGTCATAATTTATAATGTAATTATTCATACCGAACTAACCCATAACTGGATTTCTATGGAAACACCAAACTATTTAAACTCAACCTATCATAATATGAATTCATTACTCATATATTTCCTTGTTTTGTCGCTCAAGTGGATTCGACTAAACCTATGATTCTGATTTCGAAATTTGTATAACAAAGCCAAATTGAAAAGGATAATACGGTACTTTTGTTTTTTTATATGTAACAGGTCGGCAAACGAGCAGACGGATTATCTAATGGTAAGCAATCAGCGCCAGGAGTTACGAGTGTGAATAAAAGTATAAAAAACTACAGAAACGTTGAATTAATTTGTTTTTGACCTAGGAAACCATCAAAATCATCTAAGGATATGTACCTACTTACCTACCTAGTAAACATACCTACATACATGTGCTGTTCTCCGGGGAAGGGCTGTGAAATATGGCTGTGTTACCGCGAGCCTGTACTTAATGATAAACAAATGCAAACAAGGGTGCGATCGTTTAACTAAAGTTAAATATTATGGTTTTCGCTTGAGATGTAAGCAGGTGTGTATTTTGTTACAAAGCACATAGCAATTAATTATTAATTACTCATAAGTGTTGGAGTCTGGTTCAATACGAATGGTCTGGCTAGAACGGAGTGATACCATGGCCTCTTAGAAACGATATAATACAACGCTTGCGGACTCTTCCCTTTCCCTTCTTGATACCATTGTTAATTATCAGCAGATCTATGTATCTGTTCATTTGTTCGAAAATATGCAACAAAAGCTCAGATTAATTGTCGATTATCCAAACTAATATTATAAATGTGAAAGTAACTCTGTTTGTCTGTCTATCTGTCTGTCTATGTTTTCTTCATACCTAAACTACTGAACCTATTTGTGTGAAATTTGCTACAGAAATAGGTTTCTTTTTGTGAGGGGAAAATCATCAAATGACTTCTCCCGCCCAGGACCGGGCGGGAGGGAGTGTCAGACTCTTACTGACTAAAAACCCCCCTGTTCCTTCCCTTGCTCTGGGCCAATACAGAAATAAGCTAGAACTCAGGAAAGGACATAGGACAGTTTTTAAACCAAAAATCTGCAGGAAGTCACTATTCCATGCGAACCAAGTCGCGGCCAAAAGCTACTTAGTAAGTCAATAATCCTGGACTTAAGACTTATAATACATACTGGAGAAAATTGGGTACTGCGTGAATTAAAACTCGCAACATTGTCATAAAAATGTTTTATTAATAATGTTACAACTGCGGCACAACAATACCTAAGTAATGTTCAAAAATAATATTCGGAAAAACAATATCATACAAACTTGTCTTTATGATCTAAATCTACCGACTTAACGGTGAAAAATTATTTCCATGACGTGACACTTCAAGGCAATGCAGTTCAGGATATTATTTTTGATGTTACGACCTATACGTTAAAGTTAGAGCCAAGATGTGCTTCGGTAGCTTAAAAAGTAGTATAAAAATGTATCTAATGGTAATTCTACCATCTGTTAGCAAATAAATGAAACATAATTATACATTTCACAACATAATTACATCACTTAACCTTAAAGATAACACAACACAATTAGCCTTAAAGTGCCCACTGCTGGAATTCCATCGTTACAAATTTTAACAAGAAATACGTTTTACAAGTTCACCAATAATTATTATACTAGCTAGGCTCCATTTGATCGTAGCATGCTTTATAGCCTCAGCACTCAGGAACATTGTATCTATCTATCAGTGAAAGAATTTTGACAATCCGACCCGCGGTTCTAAAGATTGCCCCTACATACAAACTTACAAATTTTACCTCTTTATAATATTAGTATAGATTATACACATTATTCTACCCATTTGCAAGAACAATGCAGAAAACAAGTTGTTTAAAAAAAGAACCAACGGTGCGATCAATTCCTTATCATTTAATGATTTTGAGCACATTTTTATTCATGGTGCTGAGACATTTTCTTGAACCGAAATCCTCAATAATTCTCAAACCGACCAGTTTACTTCTAGGAATAACATTGGCAATAGTAATAGGTACAGGCTTAAAGTTTTTCAAGACGTCACCGTCATGAAGAAAATTAGTTGCTTTTTTGTTCAACAAAAGTGGAATTACAGTGAAGTCTGATTTACAGAAACTTTTAAGCACTATCTAACTTTGCTCTTCGAGCAAGACCTAAGTTTAGATCACCTAATCCCGTCTCGCTGACCTAATACTAGAACATTAGTCTCAGGTACAACAAATTGATGTCTGGGATAAAAAATAGGTATACTTACCTAATGTTATTTTTGTTGCTATTTCTGTATGTCACAACTAAAAGCAGTATATCCATTGTTTAGCCTTTTGTGTCGTGTGTTTCAATTATTTTCGTGGAACTGTTGCGTTGAAGTTTTTCATAATTTCAATATAAAACTAAGGATAATAAGGGTCAATTTTAATTACTAAATTGTAGGCTAATGTATTGTAGATAATACCTAAATGCTATTGTTTTAGGTAGTTTTATGTTTAACATAATAAAAAAACTTCTTATAATTATGTGGTCCTTTCACACTTTCACCGTTACTTTTGCCAACGAAACTGACATTTTCAGTATACATTTGAGGTTAAGTTAATCGTTCTAGGAGAAAAGGGATGTTTTAAGAGGATTGTATTCATAGGTTTCCTATTAAAATAGAGATATTGACGTTTTTATAATAACTATCGCGAGACATACTAAATTAACTAAAAATCGCGGGTTACTCACGTATATATATTGAGACGCGGCGACGGCGACGTCGCGCAGCCTACTCTACCGCGTCCGCGCACGCTGCTCATGAGGAAGAACCCCTCTGTGGTTCGAAACTAGTAGAGCTTTTCTCAATATATACACGTGAGTAACCCGCGATTTTTAGTTAAGATATTGACGATTTATTTTAATTTTATTCTCTGTTTCGTAAGTCCTATTAAATATTATTAAATGTAAAACAGCTTAATCACGGTAACTGTTTGCCACTCCAGGGTCTCATATGGGCTTTCAGCCGGGGTTGCGAAGGAGGAACGGGGTGGTTTTAAGACAACAAGAGTCTGACATTCCCACCATGGCCGGGCGCCATGGGCGGGAGAAACCAACTGATAATTTTCCCCTCCCAAAAAAAAAAAACGGGGGCTCATATGGGCTCACGTGCATGTCATTCTTGAAGCTGTTACGCCACCCTTTAAAAAATTGATTTAATTCTAGCTACTGTCAAAAATTCAAATTCAAATTCTTTATTTGCATGTTAAGGTTGGTACAAGGATCTTAAAATAACAGGCCCAGCTTAATGGCCTTTTTCAAGCATTGCAAAGGGTGGCTACTAGCTTATAAAATAATATTAAATTACTTATGTTACATCACAATGCAAAAACCGTGTCAATCAGTACCTATAAAATTAAACACAATACAGTGAGGGAAAGCTAAGCTTCGACACGAATGGGTCAGCTCGAGTAATATGACGGCCTCACAGGAAACCGGCGTAAAATAAGCATAGCGTTGTGTTGCGCCGTGTGAGCGACTGAGTTACCGGAAGCCCAATCCTTTCCCACTTTGATGTTGCGGGTGTCCATGGGTGGCACCGATTGCTTATTGCCATCAGATAATGTTATAAAAATACATTCATATATTTTTCCCATTTCAGTTTTTAGTATGCTACCCATACCCGAAGGAGTGGGGTGATGATTACCCTCGAGGGATCGTGCTCATGCGGTTCTTGGTATACTACTCCTTACCGCTGGCCGTCATAGCTCTGTTCTACATCCTGATGGCAAGGCACTTGGTCCTGAGCACACAGAACGTTCCTGGAGAAATGCAAGGAACTCAGAGACAGGTAACTATTGTTTTGCGTATCAGTCATTTATATTGGTCCAAATTGTTCACCGCGGATATAAACCTTAAATCTATGGATAATACATATATATATATATGATTATTTTGCGTTTAGTTTCTGTGTAGGTATCTGTATATTCAATTTTCAATTACATTGCTCCAGGAGTTTTTTGACCTCATTTTATCCTTTAAAGAATATTCGTATGACATCCCCAGTTTTAAGATTAAAAAATATTTTGATACCTGTATCTGGAATGCATTTGGCATTGGCTTATATTATTTTCGGTACTAGTAGCTACTTACTTATACCATAGGTCTTTTGAAAATCAAAGATCACACAATATGCATTAAGAATCCCAGTGGATCGAGGATAGGGGTTAAAATTATATTTGGCTTGTTCAAGAGCTACACTCGATGCCAATGAGAGGTTTAATATAATACTTTTATTTTACAGATGCGAGCACGAAGAAAGGTTGCAGTCACGGTGTTAGCATTCGTCCTAGTATTTGCTGCATGTTTCTTGCCTTCACACGTGTTCATGATGTGGTTCTATTACTGGTAAGTTTCAAATGCGGGTTTTCGCGCTGCTAGATGAGCTAGAGTAACTTAAAGCCTGTTAGAAGAATGTAATGTTTAATACACAACCACCTGTGGGTGAGAACACAAAGTGTGGGAGATGGCTCTCCCGGCTCGAATGGATCGACCCAACCGGAGTGAAACCACGGCCTCACAAAAAAAGGGCGTGAAGCAACACTTACGTTTTGTTTCGCCATTTTTGTCTTCTCCCCTCCCCCCATCCTCAATCCTACCAGATGATCCTGCAAGGCACTTGTAGTATCCTTGGGTAGGTTAACATCAGGTAATCCTTCTGCTCGTTTGCTGATCTATGACATAAAAAAACTTTTACTAGCAGCTTCGACCGCTGTTCCAGGCCAAAATTCCAATATCTTATTCATATATAATCTGTTTGGAGTAATAGAACTGGATATACATTTGAGTAGATATATTAATTTTCACAAACTACTAAAATGCTCAAAGATATTGCGTACTCCTAGGAACAAGACAATAGGATGAGGCACCATTATAATATTTTAATGCATTATTTTATCGAAACGCGCGTTATCATATTAGCTAAAATTTAAATAAATTCCTTTCACATATAACTCAGAGCTCTCAAATATCTTCTTACAATACAAATAAATTTCCATGTAACCTATTTCTTCATCCAAAAACAAACTAGAAACACAAGTTCCCTAAAAAGTCACGTATTAACTTAAAGTGCTTAGATGAAACCTCACGTGTCGTATGTACTTCAATACAGCCAATAACGTGATACGTGACCTATTGACGTGACGTGACGAGACCTGTTGACGTGACATGACGTCATAGTTCAATAAATCGAGGTCCTTCGAAAGACGAATTCATAGAAAGAGGATAGATGTCTCAAATAACTATTGAAATTCAAAACATTTTTGAAGACATTCAGAATTTTTTTATGTCTTTTTCAGCCCTTCGGCGCAAGAAGATTACAATGGCTGGTGGCATGCCCTGAGGATTATTGGATTCTGTCTATCCTTCCTCAACAGCTGCGTAAACCCTATAGCCTTGTACTGCACCAGCGGGATCTTCAGAAAACACTTTAACAGGTAAATATCATTCTTCTTAGACTGCTTACATGATTACAACCACATGCCCATTATAGGATACTTTGGGCCTCGGGTAACAAGTGTAGCCTGCCCAAGTAGCAAAATCCAAGGCTAGGTTAAACAAAAACCTTGAAAGTTTTGGAGTATCACAAATCACAAAACGTATGTTTTGTAGTACTTAGGTCTTTTTTCTCATTGAGTTGATGGCACTTGTGACCTTTTTGATAAAATCATCTCCAATTTTTTGGCTAGAATTCAATTCAAGTTATTGCTATCAAGTTCATAATCTTTATTCTCTCTCTCTCTAACCGATAAACAAACATGCCAATTAGGCTAATATCCACATGTCACAAGAAGGCCCCAAAAATATGCGTTTCCAAGAATTTCCTTCCGTTCTCAATATTTTGACCCCTACCGTCTAAGGTACAAGGTATTTGAATACCGTAACGAGGAAGTTTGACCATTCGGATCGCCAAAAGGATTGTTGGCATTGTCTTCGGTGTTCCGGCGACCAAACAGATTCGTTTTGCCTGTAATATTAAAGGATGCCTTATCATACACACCTTTTTGTGCATTCCCCAATTGGTTTATACTCGTCAAACGTAGAAGCAATAAATAATCAACGTGTTTGGTGTATATTTGCATTTATTTTGGAATTGTGTCTGGCTTATAGCGAAAAGTTGATCACCACATGAGATTCATGACATACCTGCTGAAAAGTGGAATATAAAATTACAAGTACTTACGTGCAACACATTTGCTCCTTTTAAGGGACTAATATCGTACAAAAACTTCTCCCGATGACCCCTCTCTGAATGAATGTATACCCAATAAGAGTACCTATCAGACTGCTTAAATATAATTTGTCCTTGTTCTTTCTGCGCTTATGCAGTTATGAGTAACTTGTGTTTATAATATAAGCATAAGTTTCTTATAAAAGATGTCCCCGCCCATTAATTTAAAAAAAATATGTTTCCAATTTTCAGATACCTCCTGTGCCGAAGCAGTTCGACACACGGTCCAAGAGGTTCCTTGTCTCTTTCAACATCAAGAAGACTGCATTCGAGCAGAAAGACCAACATCAGCATGGTGCCAAGAACGTAAGAATTATTTTGGTAAAAAGTAGGAAAGTAAAAAGAGATACATTCAATTATGATTTTATTGTGTGGCCTCTCCACTGCTCTAACGTTATTGGAGTATTTATGCAGTTATGACTGCATACTTTTTCTGTTTCATTATATAATATAATATTTTGCGATTTTATTAATAAATAGTTGAAATGTGCGTTTTAATTAGCTAACTTTATGTCCGATTAAAAATAAAAACATATCACTCATAAGACATTTCCATTTTCAGGACTAGCGTTGGCCGCGAGAGCAGCATCAGGCTCCTGAACAATGGGTCCTCAAAACTCTGAGGAAGGAGTCGTGGCCTAAGGTCCACGGCTAACAACAACCAAGAAAGGTCCAAAGAGAACTATAGCAAATCATTCGTCTATAAGACGGACGGTTTGGCACCATTCCCAAAGTGTTGTGAGATCGAAAACGGTGTGAAACTTCTCGAAACTAATTTCGATGGTAAAGATGTTAGTAGCACTGAGAGCTTCTTCTTGCCTGTTGATAATTTTCGTTCATGTTAGTCTGAATTAGGTTTTAAAGCACATGTGACATAGTTCATTATTAATTAAGTATATGGACTAAATGAATCTGTAAGTTCTGTAACCTTAAAAAATGCTATGTGATGGCGGTTCCTAGAACGATTGATCGGGCAGTTTTACATATATCAGCATTGTTTACTAACTTAATGGCAATTTCGCGGTATTTTCAAATCCAAAACAACTGAACCGATTCTAACAAAACTATGTATATCAAGGTCAAAATATATAACGAAGCACATTTTCGACGTTTTGTTTAAGTGAGCAGGTTGACGCAATTTAGAATTTGTATGGAAACTTCAAATTGGTTCTCTCTGTCTTTCTAAACTATTTTTCAAAAACGCGCGTTAATTTAGCTTGTAGACCTTGATATTTTGCCTATAACTTCCAAGTTTAATTAAAATCGGTTAGGGTAAAAAGTTTCGAAAAAACCAATTAATAAATTACAAGTAGGATTCGGATACATATTCTTTAAAACAGACACAGATTCATCTTTGCTTTTTGAAAACTAATTGATTAGTTACATATTGAATAAGTATAGGGTTTTTATAACTTGGTACGTACCTTCTAAACCAAATAAAATTGTGGCATTAGTATATAAAATGATACACTCAAAGAGCACAGTACGATTCTAATAAAAAATAAATTCTTACGACGAAAATGACAGACTGTAGTATTAGTATACCTAGTGGTATGTAACTTCAGTGTCCTCTCTATAAGTTGCTTGACAGAAGCGCATGCTGCGAAATTAAAATGTTATATTTTTTTCCTAAAAATAATAATGTTAAGGACAGAAGCTAAAAAAACTAATAAATTAATATCATTAATATATTATTATACTGTTTTAAAGAAAAACGTTGCCTCGTGCCCACACCCTACACTAGAGTTTTCTCCAGTATTGTAGTGCGTTTTCAAACATATTGTAATTTCAGTTACACATGACACTCGGAACTGGAACTTGGTATTACAGTTAAAGGATCTCAGAAACAGTCTCCATCCCTCACACGTTTCAGACCAGCCAGACCAATCTTGTCAAAAGTGGTTTTGTAGGTATATTTATTATATATTTATATATATAATAATTACAATTCTACCGACGAATTTACATAAACACTTTTAATTAAATATATTTGTTTAAGCGGCTGGCTTATGAAATCAAAAATAAGAAATGAACAACATATTATGAAATTTCATAATATGTAAATAGGTACTTTACTACTCGAATATCTATCGATTTTTCTGTTTGAATATAAATCAATTTATATGTCAATTTTCAAAAAAAAACTTATCACGGTACATTCACATTAGTAATTATTATAGTGCCTAGCAAAACTATAATAGCAACGACTAGGAGAGTGAAACATTGCTATTTTATTTATTTAAGGCTATTCAAAGATTAACAAAGTATTTGAATTGTATTATTTGATGCTGACCAAAACATAATGTTCCTAAATAATAACCTTAATAATTAATATTTATTATTATACAAAATAATTATGACGCTACTGTTGGTAGTTAATTTTTAATTTTATGCGATAGGTAGGTTGATCAATTATGTTACTGTTTTAAGGATACGAAGATAGGCAAAAAGATCATGACTCATTCAAACATAACTTATTCCGTTTTACAATTAAATGAAACACATTTTAACATAGGTAAAACATTTTTGTTGTTCGATTTATTTTAGGAGTGAAAGATCATGGTAATGTCACCTCTCTGTATAAAATACATACTTACACAAAATCTTAACGTCATGCGATATTTGAGACGTCATTACCTAATGTTTTGGATCCCGAAAGAAATGAAAAAAATACCTAAATCTCTAATGTTTAGATAAAACTGATCTACTTGTTAGACACACTTTAAAAAAATATTGCTTTTACATCTTGTTAAAAACTGTCATCACATATCCGTATTAAACTAACTTGTAAAAATTGTAGAATAAAAATTAATCTTTAATTAGAATTCATAACAATAAAACGTCATTAATTTCCTATAATAAAGTAGGACATAAGTATAAGGAAGTTGTACACTATGTAATTTTTGTAAATAATATTTATAATAAAATTGTTAGACATAAAATGTTCATTAATCCTTGTTTTGTTATGCAACCAGGGCCTATGTTGTAGATACATTATAATGTATTTAATTCCATGTTATTATGTGCCTTGTTTAAACTTTGTTTTGTTAATTGATGACAATTTTAAAACATGACAAACCTGGTTTCAGATTATCAACCTTTTGAAATACCAAGCTAAGATTCAAATCTTGTACTAGAAAATAAAAAGGTACATTATTAAACATAGTTTAAACAGGCCTTGACAATTTCTATTAACATCTGAGCTACTTTACATACGACATCGTATGTTAGGCGTATAGTTTCGTATCTATTGTAAACTTATTGAAAATAAGAACAATATGTAACATGAAACACAGACATTTTTCATAGATTTATTAACATAAACTCACAACGGGTATTTTAGTCGTGAGCTGCGCCAGCCTTGAGCGACGTCGTCGCAACGTCCACTCCGTGGAGTTCACGGACTCTTATTAATATGTTTGATGGTATGGCGCGGCAAACGAGCTGGCGGATTACCGGACGGTAAGCAATCAGCGCCGCCCATGGACACCCTCAACACCAAAGGAGTTACGAGTGCGTTGCTACCTTTTAGAGATAAAGGTTTCGGATATTTAAGGGTTGGAAAGGGATGGGGAAATGAATATGCCTCCCACCCTCGGTAACCTCATATGGCAAAACACAACGCTGAGGTTGTTTCTCGCCGGTTTTCTGTGGGGCTGTGGAGGACTCCAATTGAGTCGACCCATTCGTACCGAAGCTTGGCTCTCCGCAAGCTTCTAGCAAGAATCCGAAACCCATTAAATCCTGTCTTTAAATATATACCTACTTCAGAATACATCAATTATGTACGTTAACGTTACTTTCTTTTCATTTAAAAATTATGAAAAACCGGTCAACGACTGGGAAAATTTTAGTATTGTTTGTCTAGTCATTATTAACTGTCTCTTTTATACTAATGTTTGTACATAATCTATTTAATAAAATAAGTATGTTTAATAAAACATGGATATAAAGTTTTAGTTTTTAATACTTTTGTTGTTTTATTTCTAGTTAATGTTTTTATCTGGTAGATCCGGATTACCTTATGGTAAGCAATCGTCGCCGTCCATGGACACCTGTAACGACAGAGGAGTTATGAGTGCGAAGCCAGCCTTTTAGATATCTAGGAATCCTGGAAGGAGAAAGATTGAACCTCCGGTAAGCTCACTCACACGGCGAAACACAACGCTTTAGTTGTTTCACGGTAGTTTTCTGTGAAGCCGTTGTATATCTTAGATCAGATAAGCCGACCTATTCGTGTCGTAGCATGGCTCTTACACACTCTACCTTTATTGAATTTTTACCCGACTACGGCAACAAAAAACAACGCTGAAAAAGTATAAAACAAGATTTTCCGAATTCTGAAAGGCGTAGAGTCTCACGTTAGATATAACATACCTACCTACCGTAGCAATTTGACAACGTCTGACTACGGTGACTACGCCTTTCATTTGGGTTTTAATTTTTATGTCAGTGTACTAATACTTAAAACATATAAACAGCATTTAAAGACGGTAGCAACATTTCTAAGTTGACACCTATTTAATTAAAAATCTATGATATAAGCTCTTAACTGAAAAAGACTCAACAGTTTGATCTCATAGAGCTGTGTACTGAAAGCCGAAGCATCGCTTCGTTTAATAAAAAACTAACATAGCCAATGATAGGTACGTTTCATCGTCACGTCATCATCAGAAGCCAATAAGTACTTACTGCTGAGCAAAGGCCTCTTCTCATAATCACCACGCTTGATCAAGACGGATTGGCGATTTATAACTTATAAACATAAATAAGTAGAAGTTGTAAATCTAGGTTTCCTCACGATGTTTCCCTTCACCTTATGTCTGTGGTGTCTTAAGTATCTATAATTGTAGGGATGTGAATTGTTGTGTAAAAAAAACAATTTTTGGCAAACATACAATTTATTATTAAAATATACAATGTAAAATGTCCTTTATATGTAACAAAAGCATATTATTTAACAACAAGTAAGTATGAAGGAGGCTTCATACTTACTTGTTGTTTAACAATTGAATTGCCTCTTTAACAATTGAAGAATTGAAAAATAATATCAGTCATCTCATTTAAAAAATTAACCTATATAGTTTATGAGTAATGATAAGTATTAAAAAAAATCAACACAACAACAATATTGAACTTCTTAAAGACGTTCCAACTTTTAATGCGATGATGCTTTTAGTCATGTATTTTCTTAAGACAAGTTGAGTTCAGTAAGTATTTAGGGTATATTGACAATTATATCAAGATAAAGCGCCCTTAAATTTTACTTTATAGCTTTGGATTCAAACTTCACAATCAATACAACTAAATTTCTTCGCTCCTGAGTAAGCCTCCAGACTTATGGAATGTACCCGCGACAGCGACATCCTCGAGAACTATATGCCAGGGTATATTTCTCTGAATGCGTACGCCACGTTCATAGGATTGCGGTAAGTACATAGAAGTTCAAAGATGATCTCAGCTACCATGTTCAGTCGTATGTACCTTAGCTGAAACAGCTCTCTGTCCAAAATTGGTAGCTAGTTCACATCTCCGACCAGAACAACTATGGCCCCTAAATGGTTCGTTAGAGCCTCATCGACCATCAGACGGTAAAATTTGTCGTAAGGCTTGAACCCTTTGG